GTTATAGCTATAGTCACCCTACTTATAAACCCACTTATAGCTACGCATGAACCTCCAAGTTAACCTGATGTGAATACGAAGGACACCCTAAACCCTAAACCCTAAACCCTGAAACCCTAAACCCTAAACCCTAAACCCTAAACCCTAAGAAATCTGGAGAGACGATGCCGATACTGCAGCAAACGACTTCAGGTTGCAGTCGTAAGTCTGTTGGTGAGCCGTGTCAACAGGGTTTAGGGTTTAGGGATTAGGGTTTAGGGTTTAGGGTTTCAGGGTTTAGGGTTTAGGGTTTTAGTTAAGTTACGGTTCGGTCAGATATCTGCCGCAGGTCTCTCTTCAGATCCTGGTGTTGAGCCCATGCCAGCGCATCTTGGGCTGAGTTTTTGTAGCATTCTGCCACACTCGTAGTCACAATCCTGAGTCGCACTAACTAGTCACCCACATCTCGAGCTCTGGTTGGCGCTGTTTTCTGAACCTTGTTACCACGTATTCTGCGCAATCCTTAGTGCTTGCTGATCTGCTTTACAGCTGTGCGGCAAAGAACGCGGCGCCTCTCCCACTTTCCAACAGTTCAGCGGGCCGTCTTGCGTTTTGCTTAAACGGTATGCCAATCCTCACTCGCCGATGATATTGATCACTGCGACCACTGCCACCACTGCCATCACTGCCACAACCACCAGTGCCAGCACTACCACCCTTGCCACCAGTACCACCAGTACCAGCACTACCACCATTTTCACCAGTACCACCTGCGCCAGAAAGGCCACTACCCTACCATTTCCAGCGCACTTCCACTTCCACTACCACTACGGCTACCGCTACCGCACTACCAATTCTGCTCTGCTGAACCTACTACTGCTTTGCATTTACGTCGACGACGACGACGACCACTACCACTACCACTACCACTACCACTACCACTACCACTATCACTATCACTACCACTACTACTACCACTACTACTGTACATATGTGTATATATATATATAAAGAGAGAGAGAGAGAGAGAGAGAG